AAAGAAGGCGCTGACAGCTGCGTGGGATGATGGAGCATGTTGTACACCTTTAGGAGCTGCCTTCTCGCTATTCTTCTCGCCGTCCAGTTCCTGTCTGATTTCCTCCGCTTGAGCCCTTCTCGCTGTGCTGTTTTCCCCGGGGACGTGCTTCGTTGACAGAAGCTCTTCGATCAACGGATCCCGAGATAGCTCCTTGTAGGCGCGTCTCGCTAGTGGCGTAGTGTACACCGGCAGTGGTGGTATGGGTTGCTGGATGAATCGCTCGATAGGGACGTCGAGCTTGTCCTCTGGCTCCCTTAGCCCTGATTCTCGGTCCATGTCTTTCCAGGATTCCGCGAATTCCTGTACCTCGGGGCTCTGTTTCCAGTTCTCCTCTTGTCGTGCTGCAAACTCTTCAGATGACGTTCCAACGGGCTCCTCTAGTCTCGGCTGGGCTGACACCAAATCCGATGAATTGAGCTTCTCCTCCTCTACCTCGGAACCGACAAGTTCGTTCTTCGCGTCCCGCCTGTCCCGTTTAACCCTATTCGCCAGCTTCTTCTCTAAATTCTTCCAATAAATTGCAGTCAACGCCTCTAAGGGCTTGAGCTGCGGATTCTCCTCAATCATAGCCTCAACCTCCCCCTTATGCTTCTCCATCCTCGCTGCCCTCCGAAGCTTCGTATCCTGCCGCTTCTTTGACCTCTTTGCCTTCCGCAGAATAGATTTCTCCGACTTTCCACCCAGTACCCCATTCTTAATCACCACCTTGGGTCCATAGGTGCGCGGGCTCAGTTTCGTCGCTATGTTTGTAACAGCCTTGTCAAGACCGACCTTGTCCATACCAGCCGTGTCCGTAAGCTCTTCCACATCAAGCACCTCGCCCTTCTCTAAAGCTTCCCTTTCTTTCTCCTTGATCTCCTCCATCTTCGCCTCAATCTTCAAGATCTGTATTATCTTCTCCTTCTCCTTCGACTTCGTCACCTTCTCCGCATCCTTCGCAAGCCATTCCCCCGCTTTCATACGTTTATTAACCATCTCACTCCCACGCGTCGGCTTTCCGCGCATCCGCTTCCTCAAGCGTCTCTCTGCGTCTTTCTCTTCCACTTGCTTCCTCACAGCATAGTACACTGCCTTGATTCTCTTCAATTCGGCGGTCAAAGCCGCGACATCATACCCATGGTCCAGATCTTGCGGGATAATGCTCAATTCTCGGGTCAATTTGGCTTCCTGCTTTTCCAGATGTATCATCTCCAAGATCGGTTTCACCTCTTGCCCAAGACGACTTTTGAATCTACCTTTGCGCTGTTTTTCGTATTTTTGGAACAGGGCTATGGAGGCGGTGCCTAACCCATAATTTTCTGATGGTTCTGACAACGTTTCGCTGGAGTACTCGGCTTCCAATTCTAGGCGCCATAATTCGACTTGTATCTCGGCCTCAGCACTGGGCTTAAATTTGGAACTTTCTCCGCCCTGGCTTATAGATGGTCTCTCAAAGCCCCGGTACGAGTCGGGAGGTCCTTCCGTTTCCCGCGGCGATACATTATTACTATCTTGATAGCCTACGCTCGTTCTCTCGACGGCTGATTCATGTTCTCTGAGGGTCGAGAGCGGCCGGTTGTATTGTTTCGCTACCTCCCGCGGACGTATCAGGGGTAGAGACCTGCCAAGAGATCTTGTAGAATAGAAATGAATATGAGAGCTCCGTATACAGTGTAAAGCGTGTCTTTGATGCCGTAGAATGTGATGTTGCCGTATGAGTGTGCATAGTGAGAGGCTGCATTCAATGTCCAGGATGCTGGGTCTGAGTTTTGCGACGCACATGGTGGATGAATAGATCATATATCCCATAGAAACTCCGGCTTTCAATCAAATTGTTACTGGTCTTTATAATGAAAGGTCTAATGGCAACCTGAAAGAACGCTAGGGGTAGTTTGTAACGGGTTGATATTGTAGGTGTGCACGTGTCTAGATGCAATCAATCGTTCTTCGCCACCGGCGCGCCGGCGTTTATCCATCACAGCGGGTCATGTCGCGTGAAGAGGTAGCTTTTGCGTGATAGATAGTCTTCCGAACGTGGTGATGGCAATCGCTCCTTGGGCTTGGAGACACGTTGAAGGTTAAGGGGTGTTTTGATGATGTTCAAGATATTTGCTCGCTACTCGTGAATGATTTCTTGGGTGTGGGATTATTAAAGTGATACCGACACCCCCACCCTTGTACAGTCTATACTCCTCTTAGTTATTAAACCCTTTCCTATATCAACCGTGCCTTTTACTATACGAGGCTTTACCTACGGCTTTTCACTTCATCGTGCAACCTTAGCTAGAGCCTCTTCTACACCTAGAAATGCAACCTCGTAACAACGATTCTAGGCCAGCCGATTTACGGCAATACACCTTGTGAAACCAACAGTGAAGAACGTCGTGAAATAATATATGAGTATAAACAAGGAATGTTGCAAGAGAAGTAGTTAAGATTTTGATTGTCACTTGAAATGCCGCAGGTTAGACTTAGGAATTAAGTTTATCAAACCCTACTACCAAAAGCTTCTTGAAAAGTAAAAAAGCGGTGCAGAAAGTCATGTGATGAACTGACGCCTTATACTATACCCTTTTATTCAATGATGTACTTAGATACTCGTAGAATATCGTCACTTCTACGTCTTGTACCGTGGAATTTTATTCAAGGACTTTTTTCTTTGGATTTCAACATTATGCAACGACCAGATAGTCAAGCGAAGTCTTCTGCTCCAATCCCCATACTCCTATACAACCTCGTGCCAAAAACATATACGAAGCTATTTCTTCAATTTCTACGTTGCAATCACGGTATAATAAGTATATTTGTTATAGCGAAGTATGCTATGAAAGATATGATAGAAATAGATTGATGTTACACGTATCAGTTTGCTATCTATTAATAGATAATCCCATCATACGACTCTTACGACTCGTGCTCCCTCACGAGCGATCCTTCTATCTCCGGAATACGGTCGACATTTGTACAATGCATGCGGTGTATAAAAAGCTCGATCCCAAAACGCGTCTTTAGACGCTTGACAGACTCATCAAGTCCAGTCTCCTATCATGCTTCCGTCTCCTTTTGCCATATGCTTTAGTCGGTATATCTCTAGTCCGAAACCCAACCTCGCCTTACCCGATCATGTGTTTCGGAAGTCTATTATAAATACACGGTATATGAGAAATATATTGAAAGCTCGCCGTATATGCCATTGGTGTCCCATCATTCTCCAAGCGATATTGCGTCTGCTCTGCCGTATATTTCTGCCTCCCCAACTGGTACACAAACGGATTCCCCTCATTATCATCTTCCCCTCGAAACGGCTCCAGCGACCCATGTAGCAGCTCGCAGGCGAGTCTTTTGCGTTTATTAGCTGCGAAGAAATCTCTATATGCGACGACGTACGAATTGCCATTGACGGTGTATGGGTAGGATTCCTGGGCCATGTGGGCTGGGAAGGTGGGTGGGTTGAGGTTTTGCGCGCCGATCCAGTCGGGGAGGTCGTAGCCGAGGGCGATGGCCATTGTGTTTGCGGCGACAGAGATGGTGCAGTCGTTTCTGCTGTCGGATTGTTGGGCGGAACTGTCGAAGCGCAGACGCCATTCGAGGGGAGTGAAGGCGTGTTTGAGATAGTGGGATAGGAAGAGTATGGTTTTTAAGAGGGTGTTGTCTCTGAAAGTTTGTCGGTTTGCACTATCGCTGTCGAGGAATTCGATGGTCTTGTGGAAAGGAGATATGACGAGAAGGGTTGAGTGGTCGGCTGTTGTGGGGTCTGGGACGTGGATGAAGATGAATTTTGTGCTGTAGAACGTGGCCTGTTTGATACCTGCATTTTTCAAATATTCTGTGGCTTCTTTCATTTCATCTGCAACCATATAGCTCCATGTGGGAAAGTCCGGTGCTGCGCAGTAAGGAGGATCATGGCCGTAAGTTTCATTGACGAAATGGCATGTCATTTTCATTGCTTTGTTAATAGTATCGCCAATGACCCGTCCCTGGCAGTTCTTGAACAACAGACTACTGACGTCGGCTCCGAATATTACATCCTTCGTCCTGTCAGGAGTTTCACTTACTCGTCTCAAATCGACCACCACCTTGGCGGCAGAATCAATGTCGCCTCCAAGCATGAAGGGCTCTAGGAGGTTTTGTTGCTCTTCGTTTATATCGCCATATTGTCTTGCTAGATCAACTTCTTCAGAAAGTATCGGCGGAAATGGAAATGCCGCATTCGCTGTAGGATTGCGTCTTCTTGACATTCTAAGCAGATGTGTCACGTAAATTTCATTCTTTAGATACATATTTAAAATAGAACAAAGGTGAGGCAAGTTTCAAAGCTCGCAAGTCAAAAGACGGCGAGCTTCTCTTGGCTTCTTTGTTTCATTGTCCGCGTCAGGGTTAACAAACGACAATTCCGGAAAAGCTTTGCAAGCACAAATAGTCTATAAATAGCCAGAAGGCACATACGTATATATTAAATAGTTTTTATTCCTACCGCTTGTGCCAAACTTCAAATTCTTTAAGTGTCGAGGATAAGGCAGGTACAACTACTAAGGGCGTAGGAAAAGATAAAATTAAGCTAATTCGTAAAGAGAAGATGAGAGTTGGCAAAATGAATAAGGGTGACGCCTTGATCGAAATCGATTAAGGGGTTCGGGATTAAATAGGTAAATATGGACAGCATACAATATTGGACTTTCATTTCTACAAATAGGCTTTCTGTTACCGATGAGATATTCAGGGGCTCCTCGCCTATACTAGCCAGCCCCTCATTCGCTAAATTATAGACAGATCTGCTAGATTTCGGCACGTCCCCTGTGCCCGCCCCGCCGTCATCGGTATAAACCCCGCTATCAGATCCTACAGCCTTGCTGACAAAGTCCTCAACGACAACAACCACCTTGACGCTCTCTCACCAAATAGACGCATTCTGTCTCAATACCCTCGCGCGATTGAATAGGACTTCACTTGCAAACTACTTCTCTCTCTCTGTCGCTGCCATGTCTTCAGACGCAACAGCAGCAGCAGCGCCCCGCGCCCCTCGACCTACGATAATAGGACCGGACACTGGTCCCCAACCGCCATTCCCTCTGCGCATGGAAGGAGAAGTGATATCAGGCTTTGGACGAGGTTCAAAAGAGGTACTTTATATACCCCCTCCTCTCTCACCTGCCTCTATGCCCATCCATCACCTTACTTTACCCCGCGCCCCTTTATATTTTACCCCACCATTGATTGTCCGGCCTGGACTTTTCTTTTTACTGTACTGTGCTAACAGCTAGGTACAGCTAGGTATCCCAACAGCGAATATTCCCGTAACAGGCGTGTCATGGATAGAAAGCTTAGAATCCGGAGTATATTTCGGCTACGCATCTCTGCACCTCCCCGCTTCGCATCCAGACCTCTCCACATCCACATCCCCTCCCAAATCCTCCTCCTCGACAAACAATTGGCGTACCTTCCCAATGGTAATGTCAATTGGCTACAACCCATTCTACAAAAACACCGTACGGTCGGCCGAAGTGCACGTTCTGCATTCGTTCGCGAAGGATTTCTACGGTAGTTGGATGAGGGTGAGTGTTAGTGGGTTTATAAGGAGGGAGTTGGATTATGTGGATGTGGAGAGTTTGATCAGGGATATTAGGGTTGATTGTGAGGTGGCGAGGAGGAGTTTGGAGAGGGGAGGGGTTGGGGGGCCGGGGGGGAGAAGGGGTGGTTGGAGGGGGAGGG